ACGCTATGGACTCGAGAGCTCCTGATACGTAAAATTTTAAGCACACGCTACTTAATTAGGTTTTTTAGTACCGCACGGTTTTTTTATGACTTTGCACACCTTTAGAAACGTTAATCTTTTTGTTTTTGTTTCAGAAACAACACTAGATTTTATTTTAATAAAAATATTAACACGACAGACTTCAACACTTTGTGTACGTTTTTAAACCGAAATAAGAACACACAATTACATATTTTTAAAACAGTTCAGATACTTACATTATATTCTTTTAGGCAATGATACCTGATAGAAATCATTTTGAGATAAGACTATGAATTTACTATATATTAAGTCAAATATATCAACTATAGTAGAGACAGCTTTCACGAATAATAAAACTTCATGTAATCTATATGTACTCTAAAACAAATGTTCCTTCGGATTTTAATGGGGCTATCAATATTTCAAAAGATAGAGTGAGTGAGAATGAGTGAGAAAGGTTTATATTTATAAAACAGAACCACATGAGCAAAGCCGTTGGCTAAATATAGTGTGCAATATAAGTATCTAGATATTGATCACTATATTTGCGACGACTTTACTTAAAAGACAGAAGATCGGTAGTAAGCTCTCACGGAAAGAGCGGAAGTATTTAGTTTCTCGTAAGTGAAAGAAATTTTTTATCGGTCCAGTAGTTTCAGAGTCGTACAAAAACAATTTAAACAAACAAACAAACCTTTCCGCTATATAATATCATTATGGATATGGATGTAATAATTCATAACTTTTTCTATTAATGTTATTATAAAAAGGAGATTTTAAAACCGTTAGCTTATTTTACGCAATAACCACCCACCTAGTTCCACTTCCAAGTAAAGTATCAATTAACCTGATCCCAGTGGCTATGCGTAGGTGGAAGTGGGCAGCAAATATTTCAAGAGACTTAACCTATAGTATAAATACAAAATCATTGTTTTATTCCCTCATTTCATTTTATGGATATTTAATACTTAGGTAATTTATGTAATAAACTTTATATACTATACGTACTTTTAGAGATATCGATATTTTTTATGTAATAAGCAACACTAAAAATATTAAATATTTATATAAATAAAAATATTCAACATATCTATACTGATACATCCGAAACTATTGGACCGATTTATAAAAGTCTTTCATCTATGGGAAGCTACATAATACAAGATGATCATAGACTATTATTAACGCAGGCGAATTTGCTGGGAAACAGCTAGTTTGATAGAAATTGGTTAACAATTCAAGATGAAATCGATGATCGTACCTACTTTCATAAAAATATCATATTATTTTGAATTAATACAAAATACGCAATTTGTTGGCTAAAATAAACCTATTATCTAAATATTTAGGACATCTGTTGAAAAGCGTATTTTGTTTTGTTATAAAAAAACTACACAACCGATTTCGACAAAATTTAAACGGGACCACTTTGGTCCATGACCCTGTCAAATAAAAAAGAATTTTGAAAACCGGTTAACAATAGGCGGAAATAACAGTGAACAGACATACACAGGTATAATATTAAAAAGGGGTAAAGTTTATAACTTTGTTAGATATATCAATATTAGTAAACTTCGGAAATACAGATCCGATCATGAAAATTATTGTATGTACAGGAAACTACATCATACGCGGGTGACATAGGCTATTATATACGTGTTCGAAGACGTTGGTGAACAGCTACACCTTACCTATTCACTTAAGTGTAAGTACCTAGTTAGTAGTGTTACTGAGAAGTATATTTTACTACCTCTTCATGAGAAGTAAGCTTGGTCGATAAATGATGAAAAGATTTAGATTTATTCAAAGGTTAAGTCTCGGATTAGCCTATAGGCAAAATATAAGACACAAATTTTATTACATAACAAATAACGACATCAACTCGGACAAATTTGCAAATAGAAAATTGTACTGTGATGTAAATAGGAAATTATTTATTTATCAATGGCACACGCTAAACAATACTCTTAAGTTCGTACTTAAAATTAAATAACTAAAATATTTGTATAAGTAGTTCATCAGTTATACTAGGGCACCGCTTACTCAAAAATATGTCTGAAAGTAGGTTAGCTAAAGTTTTATCTAAAATATATGAATAAAGTACATTTTTACTACATGTTTTTTTCTTGATTGTGTCAAAACAAGGAAGATTAACGGTCCAAGTTGGTGTTGAGCACTCACATGTGAGCTCAGTCTAGACACTGCTCATATAATATGTATGTACTATACCCAGTAACATACCAAATTACTCAAAAGGCCAAACTGCAGTATATTCTGTATTTTACTATAAATCACATTAAAACCTAAAATTGATTGGAGAAAGACTTGACGTGTTATCGACAGTACTTATATAGCTGTTTTAATTTTTAAACGGACATATTATCATCATCATGGTGACCTTTTGGTGATCGAGTCTTAAGTATAGGCCTCTTCCCTCCTCTTTTACTTCTGGCGATATAGTGCACGACTCACGCATTCTAGCAATATGTACCATCCATGTCCACTTTTTTTTGCTATGACCTAAATATCTAGATTCTAAGGAGGCTCAAGCTAGAATCACAGCAGCGCCGCTCTACAATATGCCTCTACAATACCTACTTTGGTCAGGTAACACGCCGAAATATAGACAACTTGGAAAAGCTCATAATAACTAGCAAAGTAGATAGAAAACCACAAAGAGGGCGCAATCCTAAACATTGATCTAATCAAGTGTCTGAAGAATTACAGATGCCGATATCCCAGGCTCTCTATCAAGCAGAAAATCGCAGCAAATGAAAAAGTCGGCTGCGAGCTTTCGTCGATGCCACTCACCACTGATGAATTCTAAGTACAGTTTTAGTCCAACTCGAAGTAAAAAACAGATAAATTTGGTGTTAACTATTTTTTAAAACTTCAATATCCATCAATCTGATTATTCGGAAAAAATACTATTTTTTTATCAAAGCCGCGTATATTTTATATAAGGGACACCCTACCGGTAAAACTTAGATGAGTTCACCGGAAGAGATGATTATTTTTTAAAACAACAGGAATCGCAGAAAAATTTACAAAAATAAAACACCGAATATAGAAGACCTCTTGAGAATAACTAGCAATGGTCGTAAGAGTTCAGGACCAGCCAATAATAATGATCTGAGACTAACCCCCATATCCAAAATTTCAACTCGATCAGTGTAGTTATTTTGGAACAAATTAGCTATGATAAATGAACAAACAAATACACAGGTTAGATTTCTATGAGTAAAATGTGAAAATTATTTTTTGTACAGGTAAGGGAAGTAAAGTATAGGCTGTCACTAGCGTATGACATAGCTTCCCGTATGTGAAAGAATTTAAAAATGGGTATAGTTGTTTCGGAGCCTATTCAATACTCAAAACGACCAAATCTTTTCTCTTTATAATATTAAAAAAAAACTGTATAGATAAGGATAATATGACAGAATAATAAATACTATACAGTACCTAAGGTACCTACAGTTCACTACTTTATTTTAAATTACTCAAGACTTAGGCCGCTTACTCGAATTGCATCGATGAGCGATATCGCACGAATCGCTCATCCTAAGAAAATCTGTGGAAAGTCACAAGTGTTTACTGATGAAATTGCGCAGATTGTCGATTTTGATCACAGATTTCCTTGTTATCGAATGGCATGTACATCCTAATGATCTGCGAAATCGCTTCAAATGTATATATAGTCGTATGCTCGATTTGCTTTCGACTCAAAAGCTATATTCTTTTCAGATACGATTATCTGCGAAGCGATATCAGTTGTGCAATCGGCGCAATCTTATATGTAAGTACGTGCGAGTGTCTGTTCACTGAGATTTTTAATCCACACAACGGATTGTAATGCGGTTTCTAACAATATCCAGAGTGATTCAAGAGGAAGTTTTATAATACATAATGTATGTACAATACAGGTGTACACGAGCGAAGCCGCTGATGGAAAGCTAGTTGACTGATAAAAACATTGTTCAAGAAATTGCAAAAAATCTCAGTCTATATAAGCAGATGATACTATGCGCGTGCGCGTTGCTATGCCCATGTGCGCTACTATCCGCGTGAAAACGTTTATATTTTAATGAAATACAAATAAGTAGAGATTTAAGTTCATGAAACATTTATCGAACTTACGTAAATACTACTGCGCACTGCCATACATAGATTGATTTATCTAGCCCACCAATACCGATTTTATTTATTTGACAGAGCTAGATAAAATTGGTTCAATTAATTTGAAGACTGAACGGATTGCGTCAATCCTACCCACATTACCATACCTACTGGCAATCTTGCACTCTGTGCGACCAGACGAAGCTTAGTCGTAACTTTGAGTGCATATATCTCTTCTCAGTTGTTTTATTTACGATTATAATTTTAGAAAACTCAGCTGTTTTACTGGATGGATTTCTAGATTTCTTTAATTATTCAAAATATTCATAGGGTCAGATTGTAATGAAATATAAAACAAGTGTCATTATTTTTTCGTAAGCTTCTCTTAGATTTATTAATTGTGTCTGTGTGTCAATTAATCAAATATTTATTTACTTAATACCGACAAGTATTACATAAATATTTGACCTACTTTATTATAAACATACTAGATCTTCATTTCTTTTCACCTTATTACACATTTACTTATTTTATTAAACTGGCACTTTGCGAAATAAATGTAGGTCATTCTGGATTATGACACTGGTGACTTACCATTAAATTACTCTTCAGGAATTTCTACTGAAATTCAGTGCCGGTTTTATAATATAAGTAAATGTGTAATAAGGTGAAAATAAATAAAGATCTAGTATGTTTATAATAATGTAGACTAGTGTAGGAGATGCAGCAGACGGAGTGCAATAGTTTAAGTTGGGTGCAGGGGGAAGCTAGTGATAGCGGGCGGGCGGCGCGAGGCGAGGTGCAACGTGCCGTGCACCTGGGCGGCGGCCGGGCCGCTCCACGGCTCCACGTGCCCGGGGCTCAGTCGTCGCCTAGCCGCCGCCGAGTCGCGCCGCAACGTTGCACAGCTCAGCGACAGGTGGCGCCGACGCCCGCCCCGCCTGCGCTCTCCGACCCGGCAACGCGACTTTCATGTTCAAATACAATAAATCACTGTGAGGTGCCCGGCTTGATAAGCGCCAAAATGAGTATCACCAGTTGATCGAGTGTTCTTCAAAGGATTTTCATGATGCTGCTACACGCTTTTGGATTGTAATTTGAAGTGATAATTGTGACACTGTGAGTATTATATTAATTATAAGTTACAATAAATGTACTTTCAAAGCTTACACGTTGTATTGGGCAGCAAAAATGTATGATGAATGATAATATGCATGAGGCTCCCAGAACCATTTCCAATATTTATACTGGTAACGAAATATTTATTTTACATTTAAAAAAAAAAGTATTTCTGCGTGCTTCAAAAAAATATGCTACGCACTTTTTACTATTCGTTTCTTGAATATTACCGAAGGCAATCAAATATTATTCAAAGGATCTCTTACGAAACCAATAAATAATAATTCCAGAAAATGGGAAAACATTTTCATCGAGTTTACTCTACTGTGCCTCTCCGTATGACAATAAATACTAATCCAATACCATTCTCGGCTGAATAGCTTGTGCATACATTGTAGAATTTATTATGTTTAAATAACAATGTTTACTGACAAGATAACATGAATTTATGATAGTAAAAAAATGAATGTGCACTTATTCCCCTAAGAAGACATAAACGCGCTTTATTGGCAATAATTTTAACATTATGTTTCAAGGGACGTTTGTTTAAAACAATAACTTTAACAGAAAAAATAGCAATTTCGGTATGAAATGCATTCGCATAAAAACAAGTAACATTTCATTTTAATAGGTTGCAAAACACAGATTTTGTTTTCTTTTGGTATAACAATCGCCATTGTGACGTCAACTTACGATATATAAAATAGGCATCTATATTTCGTAAGTGCCTACATCTCAAGACAAAAATAAACATTTCCTTGTAAGGAATAGAATAATTATACTTATATTTCATTTCATTAAATTTAATAATTGACATTAATTTTAAAAACGTCAATAGTGGTCCTCTTTTGTTACTCATATAGTGAAAATTGTTTATAAATACTAATAATACAGTTGAAAATAAAAGAGCTTTCTGCACGAAAAGAATTATCAACATCAAGGTATTGCATTTCCAACGTATTTTCCGAGCTCTGAACATGAATTGTTAATGACGCTGATGTATTTTAAACAAGTATGCTATCATGTAACATATTAACAGAACACTGAAACATTAAGGATTCATTAGAAATAAGATTCACTTATATTTAAATGACTTGATGCAATTTATCTATACTATTAATAACAAGAGGAAAGATTTGATTTTGTAATGGATAAACCCTTTCTTCAAAAATGGATTTCATCCTTCTTACAGCATAATGTTCATATTCCTAAGAAGCTTTCGTATAACCGTTTTGGTAAATTATTTTCAGGGTAATTCTTAACATAGCGTACCTAGATATAAAGAACTGATCAGTAAGTTGGGTTAGCTTATAACTGTGACCTATTTGAAAAACGAGCTGAAGTGAGCGGTGAACACTATATATGAGTTTTTAAAATATGCTATGTTATATTGTTGCTTAACATTTTATACAAATAGATAAGAAACCCTCAGAAACTTCTGGATTGATTCCTACAAAATGTTTTCGCTCATATAAAGCTTACTACGTTAAAGGCGTGGAATATATGCTTCATATATTTTAATATATAAGGCACGAAGTTAGCTGGATTAACTAGATATAATATTCAGTGCAATCACGTTCCATACTTTATGTTATTTATTAGTTTTATTAAAATTGTAAGATTTACTTAAGCTGTAGAATACTTTCATATAATATTAAATTATCTGAAATAAACATATTCAAATAAATAACAATAGAAAACCTAGGTTTATGAACTGAATTCCGTGGTTATAAATATGTCTATAGGTCTGTTCTATCTCATTTTGACAATGTGAAATATGCAGATTCGCCTCTTATGATAACTCAACAACGTACCATTGATTGAGTTAATTTATTGCAAATTTTGTGCAGTAGCACAAAATTAGCAACATAACTAAGCTTCTTTAAAATCAATAATGTGTTCGTGTTCTTTATTATTAATATTGATTTATTTAGATTATTATTTATTATTATTCTAAATAAGAAAAACTCAATACATTAAAGTAACCATCAACGACAACATTAACTTGAAGGTTGAATTAACGATATAAGGAAAATACTTGAAAAATATCTTTTAGTCGGATACATGCAATGTATACATGCGTGCATTGATCTTTTTGGAGATAGTTTTAATGAGATTTAATCTCAAAAGACTTTATTTGACGCTCAAGTACTTAGTTTATTATGCCTTCATCTCTTCATTACCAGGTAGATAGACACTACTATTAAAGTTGCTTCATAAAATGTTGTGTAATTAGAGAAGATGGCAATTTCTAAATTGACATTTAACATAATTCGAATAAAATATAGGTATATAAATACGGAACGAAGGTATATAAATAGAGGTATAAAATATAGGTTGAGTATTCGTTACTAACGTACTTTTCTATTTTCACTTATTTAACAAGATGAGGATCACTCATTTAACAAAAATTAATTAAAGATCGCTGAAACACTATCTAAATTATAAAATATATACAAATAAGTACTTAATAAAACAAAATCTACCTTTATGAATAAATATACTTTGTTCCTTTCCCTTGGTCTCAGCAAAGCACACAATGAAAAACTCTGATATAAGTTGTATAAACTTTTGTCTTTTTTAATATGTTACATATTGTCATGACAAGGTCTGTATATAAGAAAATTTATAAAAATAAATAATTTATGAAAAACGGGTATATGGCGGTACGAAGTTCGCCAGGTCAGCTCGTATGGAAATATAATTAGTGCTTATGAATATGAATGAATATGAATAAATCCTAAAATATGATTTTATTTTGTTAATGTTACTTTTAGGGTAACTTAGAATTAAAACATGGAAAATTTATATCACTCCGTTGTCTGTCTGTCCGTTCGTCCATAATAACATAACAAAGGTAACTTGAATAAAAACACGAGCGCATTTTACTAGGAATAAAAAGGAAATTTAATAATAAAACTACAGACATAATTTCTTTACAGGTTTGTTTTTGATGAAATAAGCGGTAATTGAGCACCCTTCTTATTCTTTGGGAAATATAATGAAAATAATTCTTTGTCTGTAATAAAAAAAAACCTACAGGGTTAAAAAACAAGTATATTATTATTTTTTAGCTAAATGTTAAATATAGCTTTGAGAAAACACTAAAATAATTATCCTTAGAGCTATTACTAAAACATGGAAGACTTGGTATATCTAGTTTATTTTTATTGCCACACTTAAAACTTATTTATAAGCAATATTTGAGCTTAACTTGTCCTCGTCTTGAGTATAGAGTATTAAGTCTCAGTAAATCTTTCAGATGTGGAAAGATTGTAGCATATAGTTTATGTATCAGCCGGGCGAGGGATTGACCTGGGTGTATGCTGCTCTCTTAAAGCAACATCACTACAATGTTACAGAGTATCTGCTAGTTTATGAGAGCTTCAATATTATGCTTATTTATCATATTTTATAAAAGTTTTATGACACTATTTGAAAATATATTTGATCATTATTATTTATGTATTTTTAAATATATATATTGTGCTTAAAGACCAAAACCTCTCATTGAGCGAAAAAATAGCTCACAACGCATTGTGACAATCACAGAAAAACCATATAGCGAAATTCTTGTCGTGGGTGACATGCTATTCGACCTCAACGAGTTGTATCAAAGGAGCGAAGCCATTAACCGTTTTGGTTTCCGTAACACATATATATATATAGAAACAAAATATATAATAAATATTTGTTGTGGCATAAAAATAAATTTAATATGAGTCTTATGAAATAAAACGCATTTTAATAGTTTTATCGCCTGTATTTTTGGAAAAAAAAATATTTTTCATACGTTTCAGATCCTTTAGAAGCGTTAAACGATTCTTTAAAAAATTCGATAGTCTGAAAGATGTAATAATTTTATTGTTTTTAAATATACGAATTAAGTATTAATTTGACCATGTTTCATATATTGTATTTAATAAGGAAAATAAACAGTTATATTCTCTATTAAATAATATCTACAAAACGCAGACTTGTCGGCGACCAATACATTAAGTTGGTTCGCAGTGAAGCCACGGACTCAAACTTCCACATTTCCCACAAAGTTTCGCTAAGATTAATAAAAATCAGTCATCCAGTTATGCCCAATAAAACTGGTGAAATGTTATGATTTTTCCATTATGCTTAGTATTTTCTTAGTTTTGATGCAACGAAACATTGGCTTGGATAATTAATTTGTCGATAATAAAATAACAAGATATAAGTATTTGTAGAATACACTAGAATGTTCTTTACATCTTTTCTATTAAAGAAATGTAAAGTGACGGATTTAATAACATAGAGGCAATCTCTCTCATTTAACCGCAAGTGTACATACTTGCGGTTAAATGCAATAGTAAGCATAATATTCAAAGAAGCAGTATGTAGCAATATTATTATTGGTTTTGATAAAAATATAGAAAAATAGAGATTCTGATATCGAGGCGTATATAATTTTTAATGTATCAAAAAAAAATTTTAATGTATCACGCTTACTTTAATCGAGATGACTTTTTCTTCGCAAGAACAAAATGGCCGAGGGGCAATATTTACGTTAATTTAAACGTTTTCCTTAAAAGTTGTATCTTTCATTAGAAAAATAAATATTATATTTATGGGTGTTGTTCATTTAACCGCAAGTGTACATACTTGCGGTTAAATGCAATAGTAAGCATAATATTCAAAGAAGCAGTAGCAATATTATTATTGGTTTTGATAAAAATATAGAAAAATAGAGATTCTGATATCGAGGCGTATATAATTTTTAATGTATCAAAAAAAAATTTAATGTATCACGCTTACTTTAATCGAGATGACTTTTTCTTCGCAAGAACAAAATGGCCGAGGGGCAATATTTACGTTAATTTAAACGTTTTCCTTAAAAGTTGTATCTTTCATTAGAAAAATAAATATTATATTTATGGGTGTATTATTATCATGGTTTTGATTTCATTATTATCCTTGAAGTTTTTATAACTGAATATTTATAATTTAAACGTGTTTTAGGGACCTAACGA